GCCGGAGCCCAGTAGGTTGAGGCTGCGGTGGCCGGGAGCGGCCACTGCACTCCAGTCTGGACGACCGAGTGAGACTCCAACTCAAAAAACCAAACAAACAAATAAACAAAACTGTCATTTTGATTGTCTTCTCTAATTCTATGCAACAACAACAAACCATTTCTTGATTGGATTGTGCCATGCAACGAAAAGTGGATTGTATACGACAACAGGTGTTGACCAGCTCAGTGGTTGGACAGAGAAGAAGCTCCAAGGCACTTCCCAAAACCAAACTTGTACCAAAAAAGGTCATGATCACTTTTGGTGGTCTGCTTCCGGTCTGATCCACGACAGCTTTCTGAATCCTGGTGAAAGCATTACATCTGAGACGTATGCTTAATAAACTGATGAGCTGCACCCAAAACTGCAACACCTGCAGCAGGCATTGGCCAACAGAAAGGGCCCAACTCATCTCCACGACAATACCCAACTACACGTTGCACAACCAAGGCTTCAGCGTTGAACAAATTGGACTACGAAGTTTTGCCTCATCTGTCATATTCACCTGACATCTCACCAACTAACTACTACTTCTTCCAGCACCTCGACAACTTTTTGCAGGGAAAATGCTTCCACAACCAGCAGGATGCAGAAAATGCTTTCCAAGAGTTTGCTGAATCCTGAAGCATGGATTTTTACACTGTAGGAATAAACAAACTTATTTCTCATTGGCGAAAATGTGTCGACTGTAATAGTTCCTATTTTGCTTGATAAAGATGTGTTTGAGCCTAGTTATAATAATTTAAAATTCACGGTCCAAAACTGCAATTACTTTTGCACTAAACTACCATTATGATGATTTTCTTTTTTTTTTCCTTTTTCTTTTAGTTGAGAGGAAACTGTTTTTGGAAAGGTCAAGTACAATATGCTAGAGGTTTTGTCCTGTGACAAAACTAATACATTCTTCCATCTCGTTCTCAGGAGAAGATGGTGACTCTAACATGATGTAAAGGTGCAGAGATAAACAGGTCTTGAAGAATGTTCTTACCCATCTATGATCATGGCATCTAGTGTGGTTTCTCCAAGTTCATCAGGACTTCCTCCAAAGCCCACAGAGCCATCACATTGTTCCTTCTCACACACAGCACAGCCACTCTCCACTGCATCCAGAGCAGAGCCTCCAGATGCTAATGTCTTCCATGCTGTTAATCAAAACCAATAATACTTACTTATATTTACATATATTTTTCAACACCAAACATGACAAGCTCCTATTTTAAAAGTCATCACCTTTACTCTAAGTTAAATTGAATTTTTCACAAATTAGTTTATCAAGTGCTACAAAGGAGTCAGAGATAAAATTACGTAGTTATCATAAATAATTCAAAGACACTGGCTATAGATAAAATGAGGGTTTTTTTCACTTATTCAGATCCATTAGTATATAGGTATTAATAAATCATTACAATGTAGGCTTCATATGAATTAGTTCATTTTATCTTCTTAACAGATTTTGAGCAAAGTACTGTACCATTATGCAGCAGAACCAGATTCAAAACCAGTCAGTTTGGCTCCAGTGGCCATGCTTTTAAGAACTATGCTATGCTCCATGGAACTCATACACTGAGGGGAAATGAGGGTCTTCAATGGACAATTTCTTCACTGATAACAGAATTCCTTGAAGAGTAGGTGCTATTGTTGGTGAGCATATTTTAAGCATCACTACTGCACCTACAGGCTTGAAAGTGTATTTAGGGAAGTTCCCCCTTTCAACGTACACCACTTGCACAGAATCAGGCCCTGCCCAGACTGCTGTACATTCTTTCCATCTCATTATGACTGGGGACATCTTTCTCACAGCCCGTTGCCTCATTTTCTCTGACTCGATGCATTGCCTTTAACATACAAATTTAGTTCCACCAAATTTTGGGATCAAATCTGCTCCAAAACGTTAGTACATAAGCAGCCTCAGATGCGGCAGGAGGGGTCTGAAGAGGACTCTCGTAGGCCTAAGACTTGAAGCAAATGAAACAAGCACAGTACCGTGCAAAAATGCCAAGCCAATAGTAATGTACAAGATATGCAGAAGAAATGAACCTAACTCAGATTGGCCACAAGACCAGCAAGTCAGGGAGAGCTTCCTGGAAGAGGTGAGACCTTAGCTTAGCAGTTCTCAACTCCTGATTGCCAATCAAAATCGCCTGGGGAGCTTTGTGGGAAAAAAAGCAGATTTCCTGGTTCCAGCAGTTAAACCGCACTCTCGGGAGGTGGGTGATTTTTGAGAAGCTCCGCAGAGAATTTTAATGCACAGCCAAGGCTGGAACCTCGCATTCTCGGTGCACAGTATGTCAGCACGTAGCAGGAAAAGGGAAAGGAGTACACCAAGACTGGGTAATGAACAGTTCTCTGCAAAACTGGGTAACACAGATGTGAGGGGTTAGAAATGAGAGGTGGCCACGTAGACAACCCGCGAAAAGACTGGCCCAAAGCAGAGGGGCCCCGGAAAAGTAAATGCAGAAAGGCCACAACTATGAGGTCGGGAGCAGGGCGGAGACTATCCTGGCGCGGGGGCGGCATAAACCACGAGGCCCTAAAGTCCACGGGCAAGAGGCGCGGCGACGCAGACGGCCTGGACCCCGGGCGCGGCTGGCCCGCCCTCCCGGCTCCCGTAGCTTCGGAGGCGCAGGAGACAGGTCCTCCCAGCAAGCGAACTCGCGCGACGCAGCTCCCCGCCCCGGCGGCCGCCCCGCACCTGCTTCGGTGGCATTCCCAAAAGGCCAAGTGTTGAGGACCAGGGGCACGGGGCGAGACCCGCACGCTAGGGCCGCGCCGCACAGGAGCAGCACGAGCGGCAGCGGCAAGGCCGAGTCCGGCGCCATCGCTGCGCGCCGAGCCGACCAGCGCGAGAAAGGTCCCGGCCCCGCGACCGGCGCGGGCGGAACGTGGGAACCGCGGCGCCCCGCCCACCCGACGGCCACGCCCGCTCCCTGCGGGGCGCGGTCGGCGCTTTCTCAACTCTCGCGAGAAGTCGCGTCCTCCGGACCCGCGGGCGAGTTCAGCCGCGCAGGGACGGTGGCGGGCTCTCCGCGTGATGTGAGCTGTGCAGCCTGGTAGAGTTTAGCGGTCAGCCAGATTGTTGCTTTCCCCTTTGATCGTAGATCAAGCTGCATGTGGCAAAATGTGTCTGAAGTTGTGCGTGTCTGGATTGCACGACCCTCGGAGCGTTGGGTCATTGTGCACTACCGCTTTGGTTTTTCCTTATTTCTTTTTGTCCTTTTCATTTAAAGTTGAAATGGAAAAGTTTGCCCACACCTGAGAATTGACTCTGGGATTCCTGGCCTCGGAGATCTCGAATAGTTACTGAGAGTGGGGGGAGTGTGCTTGCTTACCACCAGATTCCTGTTATGTCCCCCACTTCTTTGTTTTCTCCCACCACAGCCCTGTGAAGGACGCCCCCAATACTCCCCTGGGCTGCAGAAAAATAAGTCTGGGGAAGGAGACACCCTCTCCATGGCCCACTGAAGCGGTCTTCTGCACCGTCAGGGTAAGAAGGCTACCTTCATCCCCCCCCCTTCCCCTTTTTCTAGTGTGTATTACCTTAGTGCCTGGCACTATTAAGTGCTAAATAAATGTTGGAATAAAAGGAAGAATGGAGACCTTACATGCATGGTAGAGACTGCTTGCTTTGGGAGTTGGTTGCTGGGCAGATGGGCCAGCATAAGCCAAGAATCCCGCTGGGTTTCTGGAATGCCTGCCCCTGTTAACAAGGGAAGACACGCAATCAAATAATTTTAAAGAGCATCTATAAAATCGGTGCAGACTTTGAAATATGAACGAGGCAGCAGTCGTGAGACCTACAAAACCTTCAAGGCTCTTACTGCTAGGAAATGAAACACATAATTTAAACAGGGTAAGATAGCCTAGGAAAATGATTCTAAGGCAGGGAAGTCCCATTAAAAAGTTAGGTGTAATTAAGCAGAATTTGTTAGGAGTTTCCTTCTATGGGATTTTGGAGGAGGAATAAGTCATTTGTGTTGGGGCAATCAGCATAAGCTAATGCCAGGTGAAACATGAAAGATGAAACAGTAAGAAAACATACATTGTCCTTCAATTTTCCTTAGCACCTGAGCTGAGTACGCAGCCTAAGGAACTAGGGCATATTTTTAGTAAAAATTAAAAAATGCAATACATGGAAAATGGCCTCAGTGCCCACTGCTCTCCAGCCCCTTCCTAGATTTTAGGGTATTTGTGTTTCTGCTGGATGGAAGAGACTGAACTATTACCTCCTACTTGGTCTACTCCTTTCTCCAAAATTTGCCTTACTTGAAATCAAAATTCCTGTCAGAGAAACAGCTAAATTATATCATAGTGGGAAAGGCTGAGAGGTCTTGATAGATCAACTTTCCCATAGATACTTGTATTTAAAATAATGTGTATGTAACCTCAAAAGAACCTACCCTATTTGGTGTCTATTAAAATATCACTGGGTGCACCATGGAGTCTGTGTAAACTTAGTGTGATTTCTGTAGCTATGTTAATTAAAAAGTTAAATTAGTCTAGATATTTGGAGTTCTTCTGAATTGACTTTAAAAAAAATTTTTTTTTTGACTAGCATTTGAAGAATAGTTTGCCTTTTAGTCCTGGAAATAAATTTATATTAATTGCACTTAGATTTTTATTCAGGCATAAATACAAATCGACCCTTCTGCTTTATTTTGAAGTAAATCTAAATGAAAGGGGACCTCTATTAAAAGGTGGTAGACCTTCAAAAAATGGTCCACAGTTTTCCCAGAATTCTCTCCAATTTTTCATTCTTATAAATCATCAATTGTACACAACAGCAGAGATATTTGGTGTTCTTTATAAATCAAAAGAACTAGTTATAAAATCATATGTATATAAATTTAGAGTGTGTTACACAATTTTCTTTGGTAAAATTTTTATGTTCCCAAATCAAACTTACTTATGATTAGCTGTACTTGGGGAGCATTATCAAGTCCTGGATTTTAAAACTTAGAGTGACAACATATCAGCCATGGTTAACGCATTTAACCTTCCTGAGCCACACTCTCCCCATCTCTAAAATGGAGGTAATACAAGTATTTTTTCTTATTTTACAAAGCTTTGCGAATGAGGCAGGAAAGAAAATGGTAGAAAATTAAGCAAATTGGTATCCATCAATTGATATCAGGGAGGGAGCAGTCCAAAATATACAGAGCAGCAAAAATAAATCAATTTGAGATGCAGACATTTCCACAGGATTAATGAAGAGTTGGCCGAATATTTTATTTTAAACACTTAGAAATTAATTGACTATATTAAATGAGAGTTTAAAATAATGTTTTCAGTCCTTCTTGACCTGTGTAAACTTTGGTTTAAATGTTTTTAAAGATGGGCACATGGCAGAGTTGTGAGATTCCTGGATGTCTTAAACAGCGTCCTCAGGTCTTACCAAGGAGAAAGCCTCAAATGGAACCTTAAATGATTTTACAAATAGAGCCTTTGCGTGTGTGTGTGTGTGTGTGTGTGTGTGTGTGTGTGTGTGTATGTGTTGGGAGAGGGTGTTTCTTGCTACTGCAGGCTCCCCTCCATTTTCTCTAAACTTCATGGCTTTCAATTTATCAGTCTCAGAAGGATGAAGAGTTGAGTCCCTCCTGATAGCATTTGAAGCTGTGGTTCCACAGAGGATTTAATGCTGTAGTTGCAGGGAGTCTAGGTATTTCAATTCTGAGGCTTAAAAAACTAAGCCATCCCCTCCGGCTTTTGCACTGATGCTGTGAAATCCATTTGAGAAACATGCCCATGTTTTGCTACTTGTTCAAAGCTGTAAGCGTGACTTGGCATTGAAATAATAATTTCTTTTTCAAAACTCCCCACTGAACTATTACCTGGGTTATCTACATACAGGCTATTTACTTGATTGGCATTTGCTCTTGTCAGTTTCTCAAACCGTAAGTAATGATTTTTGCTGATGTTAGAGCATTGTGATACCGTGTTTCTAATTTAAATCCATTTCTACATTAATCCGAGAACACTTGATGTTGCTACCTGATTGTACATTCTGGATGCAATTAGAGTCATTATTCAGAAATAAGTGTCATCTTATTATTCTCTAAATGAGAAAAGAGAGTATTCTTTCTTTCTGAAATAATTTTTCTAGGTCATGCCCCCAAAACCATTTGTCAAATCAATAGCAGATTCAAATCACAAACTTTTTTGACTTTTTAACCTTTAAAAGTCATCTTAGAGACTTATAAAGACCAAGATCAGCTAGTTTGCCTATTAAATGATTTCTTCCTAAAATAAGTTATGTGCAACATATTTTCAATGCATGACTGTAATATGGGGTCACTACTATAATAAAGGTATCATAACTAGGGCACAGTAGATTAATAAACATGGTGGAATTTGCCTGTTATGACAATTGTGTGTAATGTTTTGATGTCTTCCAAATGTGATGCATTATAATATTAAAGACCTAAGGCAGCAAAACAGACTTCATGATGTGTTTTTACTACTTTTAAAACCACTTTGACATTGTCAACTAGTATCTCAGATGATTCTAATAAGGGAATTCAGTGGTAAAAACAAAATTATAAAGTAGCAGTGATTTACAGCAAGTACTTTATCCGTTTCAAGTAATATCTATTTGTTGATCATGATGGAGTGGAATTATCTAATGGGCATGAGTATTCTGTGTATGACTCGTACTGAAGCTCACTAAATCTTGACATTTTGGAATGTATCTGGTGAAAAATCTTGTTATTAAACACACTGTTGTATAAACTGCTTTTTAATTTAATATAGCTTTAGCCTCTTTGCACGTAATTAAAATGTATGCTCTTTAAAACCTTTTTATTATGAAATGTTAATACTGAAAAGGACATAAAACATAAACATATAGATTAAATAATTTTGTAGAAAATGAACACCCACATAATCACTGCTCAAGTCAACAAAGAGAATATTATCAGCACCCCCAGAAAAACCCCTAACTGTTCCTCTAACATCAGTGGTTTTTTTTTTTGGTTTTTTTTTTTACTTTTATGCTGCTTTGTTTATAATAGTACCACTGAATGAACTCAAAGTGATTCTTTTGTTCATCCCTCTATTCAAAACTGAACAAAATGTTCTGTGATACTTTGGACGGCAAAGAGAATTAAGCACTCACAATGCAAGGTCTTTTGCTGATCTGCACAGTGTTCCTTGCAAAAGGCAATCTAATAATCCTTTATTCTATTTAAGGTCTATATGAGCTTGTACATTTCTAGACATTTAAAATGATTTGCCAATGACTATTCAAACCCTTTTGATCCAAGCATTGTTATAACTCTTGCTTGATGAGTACTTGGGTGAACTGAAGTCGAGTGAGATGTTGGATGTTAATATGTTCTGGTGGTGTGTGGTTTTCTTTCTTACATGTCAGCCACGTTGTTCAAAAAGGTCCCTCCAAATTATAAACACATGACCCTGAGTTTTTGCTTTTCTGATTGACATGAGTAACTTTTGGAAACCTCTCTGAAGTTCTTTGAGGATCTATTGCTATTCTTCTTTATTTTTATTTTTTATTTTAGAGTTGTGAGTCCATGTGAGGATTTGCTACATAAACTATGTACAGGTGAGATTTGGGCTTCTAGCGAGACCTCTCTCCCCCCGGTGGTGTACACGGTACCCAATGAGTGGTTGTATGCCCGTTATCCCCCTACTTTTCCTCCCCCTGCTGGTAGTACCCAGTTTTGGTTGTTTCCACCTTTGTGTTCATGTACCCAATGTCTAGGGTCCGCTTCTAAGAGAACATGTGTGCTATTCAGTTTTTTGTTTCTGTGGTGGCTCACTTAGAAAAATGGTCTCCAGTTGTATCTATGCTGCTGCAAAGGACATGATTTTGTTCTTCTTTATGGCTATGTAATATTCCATAATGTATAT